TATGGGACAAATAGCAGATGAGATCGCGGAAGGTATGGAAGCGCAACAGCAATCCTTGACCTCATTGGCCAAGGTGGCGCTAGACAATCGGTTGGCTCTGGATTTTCTATTGGCCCAAGAGGGTGGGGTGTGTGCTATAATTAATACCTCTTGCTGCACGTGGATAAATAACTCAGGAGTAGTAGAACAAGACGTAAAGAGAATCAGAGAGCACGCAACACAGTTGAACTCTGTAAAATCCTCCCAGATCCCAGACTTGTTTGGTTGGCTACCATCAGGGATAGGCACATGGGCTAGGTCATTTTTACAAGGGATCATGATATTTTTAATTGGCATTCTGCTTATAGTGAGCGTGATTAAACTTACCCTTCACTGTATGACTCGTGTTAAGTGACAATGGGAAACTCGGAGTGAAGTGGTATTTGTACTCTCTACCCACAATGTACTTAAGGGACACCTTCACTCCTGTTTGAAGCTCTGCTGAAGAACCAGATGGTATCTGGTGAAAGAGCTTGCCATAATATGCCATCTAGGGGCCTAGCAAAGTACAGGTTTTGATCAATGTGTAATCCCAGATCTCCGATGAAGAAGAGGGAGTGAATTTTTAGGGCCTGCAATCTAAAGGCCCGAGGTCAGAGGCCTGACTCCAGCTCTGATTCCATAAAGTCAAGTTCCATCTGGAGTACTCAACACAATTGTGATATGCTGTCAATTTGCACTTAGAAAAGGTCAAATGTCACAGGTTTACACAAAAAGAGCCAAAGGCTCTCAGCTCTGGCAGCTCCCGCTCTTAACAAAGACACAGATGAAGGGCAGCTATCCATTACCTTTTTTCCTAGCCTGTTGAGACTGTGAAAAAACCCCTTAATTTGTTGTTTCTGCAACGTTGTGTCTTTGAGCTATTGAAAAATAAACTGTAAGGAATTCAGTATTTTTAGCGTTATCTATGGAAGCAAGTTAGCTTTAGTGATATTTACTTTTATATGCTGTTGGTTTAGTTATGTAATGTACTGTCCTGTAATGTAATGTAACATAATATCTTTTCTGTAACCTCAAAACTGCTCTGATGATGTGTCAGTTTCCTACCTCAGTTTTTTTCTTTGCTATGTATGCCTAATAAAACCTCTTTTTTCAGTACAACTGTGTAGTAATTTTCCGCTAGGACAGTGTGTAGCGCCTGCCTGTCTTCCCCCTTGACAGTGAGCCCCACGAGGACAAGGTCAGGGCTGTCTTGGTCACCTCTGTCCCTAAGAACATAGAGGGCAATTCAGGGAAAGTCTGCTGAATGAAAGAATAAATGAACAAACATATGCATAAACCTGAAGACTCCCAAGTCCATTTCGATAAGTTTATTGTAGACCCCTCCCCAAATCACGAGTGTACACAAAGAGTGAGGAGGATCACCCCCATGCCACATGCGCTCTGAGATGGGGGTTCTTTCTACATCTACCTGCCCCCCATCCACAGCGAGAACGCAACCCTGGATCCCACCAGGGCGGCCCCCACCCCCATGACCCTCACATCCCACCTCTGTGGTGTTCCTGCCTGTGCAAACTGGGGCCGATGACTTTGCATGTCTATGCCTCAGTTTCCTCATTAAGGAAACTGAAACTCTCAGGGATTCTGTTAAGCACCTAGAACAGTGCCTGGCACCTAGTCAATCCTAACTTAGCTGGAGCGGTTTCCACAATGATTGCTCTTTGCTGATGTGATGGGGGTCAGTCACAGCCCCTGACCAGCAGCTCCCCAGAAATGAATTGGTGGCAGTGGTTCCCAAAGGTAACCACAGACACCTGGCGCTGAGCCCTCAGGTCCCTCCCTCTTCTAAGGCTGTTTCCACACCCCCAGTCCTTGTTTATTTCTATTTGGGTAGGTCTTGTGCTGCAGGTCATTTTTAACTCCCCTGAGCCAACTTCAGGGCACCTAACAACAACAACAAACCCCGGAATGAGGGAAAGGGGGAAGGAGATGGGGAAAAAGACCCCCAGCCTACATGGAGTTCCTGGGACTCTGGGTTAGGAAGTGCCTAGATCTCTGGCCCAGGAGAAAGGGGTGGCAGTCTGCTCCAGTGAGATCCCAGGCCAGGAACCCCTGTGGGATGGGCAATTCTACCCTGCCCTATAAGGGGGCTAGGAACGGAAGTGGAAATCAACTTGACAGCAACAGGTAAACCATCTGGTGTGATGTGACGGGCATGCTGGGAGGGGACTGAGGTGCTCCTTTGGGGTGGCCTGGGTCTCTGTGTAGAGAACCATCTCCCTATGTTACCTGCCTTCCCTTCTCTTCCTCCCTCTAGCTGCAAACAGTCCCCTCAGGCACCAACCACTCAGGATAATTTGGAAATGTGGTCAGTCTCTCTCCTTGCAGGAATGGCGTGGGGACAGTCCCTCACAGGCTGGCTGGGGGGCCTGGGGCAAGCCTCTGTGTTCTCCCTGGGCCTGAGTTTCTCCATCCAGAAAACAGTTTATAGGATGGACGACTCCACCCAGCATTCCCCATCATCATCCTCCCACTTCTCCCCCCGCCGGATTGTAACAGGCACTATATCCATTTTGTTGTCGCTGTTAAGTGCCGTGGAGTTGGTTCCCACTCTAGTGACCCTGTAGAGGGTTTTGGAGACTTTAAATCTTTGTGGGGGCAAAAAGCCTCATTTTTCTCCCGCAGAGTGGCTGGTGGGCTTGAGTCGTGGCTCGTGTAGTTCACAGTCCAGTGTTTATTGTATGAAGCCACTATGTTCCTCAGACTCATTTTAAAGACCCACAGAAGAATGCTTTTCTCACCCCTGAAAAAAGAAAACGACCCAAAAACCCAAGTGCTGGGAGCTGATTTCGATTCACCCCTAGCGACCTTATAGAGCACAGCAGAATTGCCCCCATAGCATTTCCAAGGCTGTAACTCTTCACAAAAGCAGACTGACACATTTTTCTAGCCCAGAGCAGCTGGTGGGTTCAAACTGTAGTAGCCCAATGCTTACCCAATGTACCACTAGGGCTCCTTTTCTTCACCCCTAGACTTCTTTAATTAGGAAACATTTACCATCTGCAAACAGAATTCAGATTGGGGGCAGGGTGGGGCACACTCCTCTCTGAATCCTGAAAAAGATGCCAAGTGGGGAGGAAGTGCATCCTGGGAACAGAAAACCCAAATGCCCCAGACTACGGCCCTTCCTGAGGGTGCCGGCGTACTCTTGTGGGAGAAGGCTATAATGGGTTGAATGGTGGCTCCCCCAAAGATAAATCTCCATCCTAAACCCCAGAAACTATGAATGTGACAAGGATTTATCATTAGGAAAAGGGTCCTTGTAATTGGGACTAGGAGTCCTGGTGTGGCACTGTGGAATAAAGCACTGGACCGAAAGGTTGGTTTGAAGCCCAAGGTCGGTGGTTCAAATCTACCAGCTGCTCCTTGGAAACCCTATGGTGGTGGTGTGTCATGGAGTCGATTCTGACTTATAGAGACACTGCATAGGGTTTTTGAGGCTGTAAATCTTTACAGGAATAGAAAGTCTCAACTGCGGAACGGTTGGTCATTTCACACTGCTGGCTGGTAACCACTACTCTACCAGAGCTCCTAAACAGAGTATCTGTAAATTGGACGGACTTGACGGTGCATCACAGCAAGATGGGATTAGGTTCAGGATCTCCAGAGAGCACCTGGATGGAGAGTGGGTCCAGTACCAATAAAAGGGGTCTAATGGTGCAGTGGCTAAGTGCTCAGCTGCTAACTGAAAGGCTGGGAGTTTGCACTTCCCTGCCACCCCACGCTAGTCTGCTTTTATCAAGGTTGATCACCTTGGAAACCCCACAGGGCAGTGCTACTCTGAATGGTAATGGGTTTAACCTCAATGAGACCCAGGAGAGGAAGAAGAAGAGAAGGCCATGCGAAGATGGAGGCAGAGATCAGCGTCCTGTAACCTCAAGCCCAGAAGACACCTGGCGCTACTGGATGCAGAAGCTGGCCGAGGCCAGGAAGGACGCCCCCTAATACCTTCAGAGAGAAAGAGTCTTTCGCATTTCTGGCCTCCAGAACTGTGCCAGACTAAATTCTATGTCCCCAGGTTTGTGGTAATTTGGTGGGGTGGCCCCAGGACACAGGACAACAGGATATAGGGTGGGACACCTGGGCTGTGGTGGCTGGGGGTACCACATGAAGTGGGGCAGCTAGACTAGTCAGGAGCCCTGAGGGGAGGAGGGTGGGAGCACAAACATCAATATATTTTGAGGAAAGATCGGAGGATGGAGCAATCTGGTTCACATTACCGGAGAGGGTGCTGGCTTACACCGACAGAATCCCTAGAAGTGGGTAGCATGGGAGGACAGCAGGAAAGGGAAGTCTGAGAGGACAAAGTTCAGGAGCTTTGGGACAGGTAAACAGGGGGCTGGCAGGAGCAGACTGCACAGCGAGTGCTTAGGGTACCGTGGGCTGTGCCAGTGTATGAAAACATGAGAGGAGAGATGTTGGAACAATCCACCAACGGCCCCAGTGGTAGAGACCAAGAGTCAAGTTAAGGGGGAAGATTCATGAATTACAGGTTAGGATCCTTAACCCTCCCTCCCCTTCACCTGATGTGGGGAGACAAGGCTTTTGAAAGACACTGGTTCCAGCAGAACAGAGGAAGGGGTGATCATTGGCAATGTACCACACCCCAGGGAAAGGAAACACTCATCGTGTAAATGGGGTGTGAGGGCCACAGGGCAGGTTGATTCCATTTTTCTTTCCCCAGAAGAGGGAGCACAACTTCTTGTGGGTGGGACCATGGCTGGGGGCGGGGCACTGGGTACTATACCACTCAGCCAGAAGTAGGACCGATTCACCTGCTGGGGACTGGTCCCAGGGGAAGGTACCATTAGTCTGGTCGGTAGACAAAAGCCAAATTGGGTCAGTCTGCTCCAGTCCAAGATCCTGGTGGTTCCGCGGGACTTATGCAGGCAGAGGTGGTGTGGGGTCAGTGGACACATGGGGCGCCCCACAGAAGTCCAAGTCTAGGTGCCAGCAATCCCCTATTTCTCGCACGCGGGTGCTGCCCGGGGCATCTTCTCTGTTGATTGCCGTCTATCCGGGGTGCAGACCTGGGCATGTACCTCCTGCAGCTGCGCCCGCAGCTCCTCCAGGGTGCTGAGTGAAGGCACCATCTGCATCTGTGCCTGCAGCGTCTCAACGGTGAGCGCCAGGCGGCCCACCTCGTCCTGCAGCGCGTCCCAGGCAGCGCGCTGTTCCTCCTCCTTGTTGCGCTGTTGCACCTGGTGGCGCCAGTATTCCAGCACCAGACAGCCGCCGCCCACAATGAAGATGGTGGCTTCCCCCAGCAGCTCTGCACCCAGCTCAGCGGCTGCCTCCTCATTCAACGGCTTGATGGCTGTGCCCCGGAAGCCCATGATGCGCATCTTGGTCCGCATCTCCACCCAATGGTACACTGCAGGGGAAGACAGGGGTCAGGCTGGGTCAGGTGTCCCCTGCGAGCCCCGCCCATTCACGCCTCAGCATCCCCTTAAGAGCAACCTGGATACAAGAGCTAGGTCACCAGGTCCCTTAAAAGAAGACCCATGCCCACACCCACACCCACCCCGTGAGTGCCGAATCACCCACCTAGGGTGACCCTAAGGACGTCTTCAAAGTGCCCAGAAGATCCTGGTGAGCAGCCAGAGGTGAGAAATATAGTTCTGGAGGGGAGGGTGTCACAGGCGCTCCGGGAGCAAAGTCTGAGGACGGTGTAAACCTCACCTGCCAGACGTTCAACTCTTTAAGCTACTGCCACCTCCACTAGAGGGTCACCCTCCCCTAGCCCCACCCAACACCCCTCCCACTTGCACAGGGGTTTTAAGGGCTGTGGACTTGTGGGAGAAAGAGGAGACTGCACCTGTAAAGATTCACAGTCAGAATTGCTTCCATGGCAGTTAAGTGGTGGTGGTTATGATCCTTTAAACACACATCACCAGACCTTCCTACTACTGAGGCACTCTGGGTGGATTCAAATCACCAGACTCTGGGTGGATATGAACCACCAACCTTCTGGCTAGTGCTTTACCAAGTGCACCTCTCAGGGACATCCCTCCTTGACCTAGCTGCTGCCTAACACTGAACCTTTAAAACCAGCATACAGACTTGACAGTGAACCCTTGTATACTAATGAATATTCATTTGTATACTAATGAATATTCACATATGGATATACAGAATAGTTGGGGAGTGGGAGTAAGCCCTGAGTAGCTCATTTAGAGGTTCATTACATGCCATTTTACTTTGAATGTTTAATAATTAATCATATATGAGATTACATAATGTATGAATGTTTGAAATAAATTATGCACTGATGAATGCAGAGGAGATTATTAAATGCTCACATGCAAGTTCAAGTTGAAGCTGGAAAAAATTAAAACAAATCCACAAGAACCAAAGTTTGATGTTGAGTATATCCCACTTGAATTTGGAGACCATCAACGAACAGATTTGACTCTCTGGACTCTAATGACCGAAGAAGACCAGTTGAGTTGTGGGATGACATCAAGGATATCATACATGGAGAAAGCAAAAGGTTATTTCAAGGACAGGAAAAGAAAAAAAAGACCAAAATGAATGCCAGAAGAGACTCTGATACTTGCTGTTGAGCAGAGTAGCTAAAGCGAATGGACGAAATGAGGAAGTAAAAGAAGTGAACAGAAGACTTCAAAGATTAGCTTAAGAAGACAAAGCATTATAATGAGTGCAGAGACTTGGCGTGGAAAACCAAAAGGGAAGAACACCCTTGGCATTTCTCAAGCAGAAAGGACTGAAGAAAAAATTCAAGTCTCAAATTGTAATAGTGAAGGATTCTATGGGCAAAATACTGAAATGTACAGGAAACATCCAAATAATGTGGAAGGCATACACACTCACAGGGTCTAAATGAAGTGGCTGATGTTCATACATTTCAGGAGGTAGTACATGATCAAGAACTGATGTCAAGGATGGAAGGACTTCAAGCTGTACTAAAGGAACTGGTGAAAAGCAGAGCTCCAGGAATTTACAGATTACCAGTTGAGTATTTAAACAAATGGATGTACACTGGAAGCACTCACTTGTCTATACTAAAAAAATTGGAAGATCGCTAACTAGCCAAGTGATTGGAAGACATCCCTATCTATTCTCATTCCAAAGAAAGGTGATCAAATAGAACGCAGAAATTATCATACAATATCACTAATATTACACGCAAGGGAAATTTTGCTGAAGATGAAATTCAAAACCAGTTGCAGCAGTACATCAACAAGAAACTGCCGGCGATTCAAGCTGAATTCAGAAGGGGACATAGAATAAGGGGTATCATTGCTGATTTCAGATGGATCTTAGCTGAAAACAAAGGCATTCACTATCTTTTACTGACTAGGCAAAGGCATTTGACTAAGAGGATCATGGATAACATTTTGAAGAATGCGAATTCCAGAACACTACATTGTGCTCATGCAGAATCTGCACATAGGCCAAGAGGCAGTCACTGGAACAAAATAAGGGACTACTGAAGGTTTTTTTAAAATCAGGAAGGGTGTGCATCAGGGTCTACCCGTTTATTATACTTATTCTCCACCATTCCTCTGTCATTTGTCATCCTTTGGTGGCTTGTGTGTTGATGTGATGATGGAAGCTACGCCACTGATATTTTAAACACCAGCAGGGTCACCATGGTGAACAGGTTTTGGCAGAACTTCCAGAATAAGACAGACTACGAAGGAGAGGCGGAACACTTCTCAATGTTTGTTGTTGTTGTTGGGAGCCATCGAGTCGGTACTGACTCATGGCGACCTTATGCACAGTAGAACGAAACACTGCCTGATCCTGGGCCAACCTCACTACTGTTG